CCATTCACACACAGAAGATGGCAATGGCAAACCACTTCTGGATCTTCTGCCAAGAACGTATATGAACAGGTCTCAGTCCGAGAAAAGGATGGAAGGATCCTGTTCATATGGACCTGTCGTCAGACAGAACACTAAATAATAATAAGATGAGGTGGTCTAGCGGTTAGAACGCTCGCCTTGTAATCCTGGGGTCTCGGGTTCGATTCCCGGCGGTGCCCGAATTTATAACTTGTGTTGGGCAAGGCCGTGGTCTAGGCAACACGGAGTTTTCCTCCGGGGGCTTCCCCGGTTTCTCCGTGGCATCCCAACAATTACTCCATTCACACACAGAAGAAGGCAGACAGAACACTAAATTTTTTAAAAAACCCGTTAAATTAGACGGGAATACTTCAAAAATATTTTCGGATCTGTCTATCGCTTTTGCCTCATCACCGCTAAATTCCTTTACCTGCCAGAAGTCACACAGGTTAAGTTATTGTTTCGTGGTGACTAAAACGCCTTGCTCTTGGACGTGTTAGATAACACCATTCTTCGTTCTTGTCATAAGACTTTAAAAAAAATCTTTACTATTAAATATGACATTAGACCCACTCTGTGCCCGTGGGTTCAAATGTTTTGTCTTGGTTTTAATTGAATATTATGGCCATGTCATAACTCAGGCTGGTAGTCGTATTCGCGACCATGTCAGTTGGATTTTGTGGTGGACACGGTGGTACTTGAAAAGGTCCCAGGTTTTCCTCTGTTAATATTAATCCACTGCTGCTCAATTTTCACTCATATATGTCTGCTGGATGGGCAAAGGGCCTGTTAGAGGTCTAATTCAGAAATCTTACCCAATCGCAACGATGATACGTGATTGTTAGGTTTATCTTATGAGAAAATAAAATAGGTTATTAATTATTCTGTTCAGCTATTTAAACGGATTTAACGCAACTTTATACTGAAAATATTAAAAAAATTATGTATTTTTTAAGTGTCATAGATAGGTTTTTTAAAACGTGTCTTGATTGAGAATTAATTATTGAACAGTGGATTTTTTTACACGTTTTGTAGGAAGTATCCGATGAACGTTGTTGGTCCTTGGGAAGTCAAACAATAAGAATTTGGATTTTGGGGAGAAATCCAGTTAAGGTCACCATTTTATCAGAGGTTGAAGTCAGAGTCACGCTAGAAGGGCTCATTCTCGATTTTGCCACTGGACTGAGAGGAATAGTGAAATACAGGAATTTGGGTAAAGATATGTAGGATCTATAATTGTTCTAGTCGGAGTTTAGAGTGCATGAAACTACACCTTTATTCCCCATACATTTTCATGGTATGGTGCTTAATTATGCGTAAGGATAACTTTGTCTTTACATCTTACCTTATTCTTTTACCTTGTTAAAATACGATTCGGTAGATTTATTTAGTCAAAATTTGTACAACTGTGTACAGATGTGAATAAAAACTTTTTACTGATCAGTGATACAACGGTACGAAACATAAAACAAATTTTAAGTTAATTTATAGTGAGTCGAGTCATTAAAATTATTGTTTTAGGGGGTCTCAGATGAATAATATTACCTTATCTACAGTCATCTAGACCGAGAAACTTGAAATGAGAGTGATTTGTGCCAATCGAAAAGAAGTAGCTTGTTTATATTACGTGAAGGAATACATATTACGCCAGAAGGAACAGTGAGCTGTGTGTAGTAAAGACAAGGCTGTCTCTTGAAGCCTGGGTTCTGGATGGCTGCCTATGCATACCTTTGTGAAACTCAGAATAGCTCGACTGTTTCTGTTGCTCTATCCCCTGGGACCAGGTCCGTGTTTCTAGTCTTCTGTATTGGCGGTACATCTGATACGTCCTGCTAGACGTGGGAAGAGACGAACATGTACATATTCTGAACGCTTCATACGAACTTACCAGTATACCACACGTCCTAAAGAAATATACTTCACTGGATTATAAATTTAATACTTCAGATTCCCGATACAAATAAGTTTGAAGATGACTGTCTTCTAAGTTGTTGGGCCGTGTAGTGTGATAGACGTTTACCGACGTTTTAGAGGTGCTTTCTGACTATACCATCAGGGCCATGAAGGAGACGGCAAGTACCTCTGAAACGTCGGCAGTCTTGTACCAGACTATTGGCGGCACAACAACCCAGAAGACAGCTGTCTTTATACGAACCTCTGTGAGAACCTCAGATCATACAAAAATGTTATAAATTTTTTTCACAAAGTTACAAAAAGTTATTTTATTTCGTAATTCGTAGATTTTCAACCGAATGTGTCAATGTGTGAAATAAAACAACCACAATTACCAAATATCTTTTGAACAGAAATCCATAAACCAACTAGACGACGTTGGCAAAACTGACGCATTGTCCCAAATAGTCTTACGTGCATAGTCCGTAGATACCAGTTTAATACTTAGCTACCTACAAGACATATATGAGATGTATTATAACCCGAAAATTTCGTATTGTTAAAAGCTACTAACTGTTGTCTAAAGTTCATTTGTCTATGCATTCAGCATTTGTTAAAATAAATATATTCTCTAATTTGTATGCTGCCCTTTTATTCAGTAGCTCTGACTAAAAAGCTCGCTGTAGTTGTGTAATTAAGAAGAATGCCATTATTTATTTTAAGAAATATTTAATTAATTATATCTGATTTTCACGCTAATTGAATATATATAATTAACGAGTTTAATTAAACAGTTATTGTAAAATAATCTGTAAAAAAATGAAAAACTTTATAAAGCTTTTTTACGAAGTCTTTCAATAAAATGAGACAGTAGGGAGAGATTTTAGAGTATTTTCTGCGAGAAGAAGCGACCGGAGTGTGAAGTTAACAACTTATATTAGCTTCTAGGCCAACTAAATGTTTATTTTTACCTCCACGCCTCATATACACATCTGTTCTGTGATATCCGGATACAGGCTGTGTATCTTGTGGTCCGGAATGAATTTCTTTTCTTATGATATACATGAATGACTTCTTGTAAACAGTTGGCAACAGTTGTGTTGGCTTTGCAACATTTGTTTCGTTTTCTAACGATGGAGTCGGTGGAACATGTCCGCTTGTATCTTGGCTATCTGATCGGATAGAACTCATTTGCGGGGGTGAAATTGTGGCCGGGGTTTGTGCCAGCAGATGGGTAGATAGATTTGTGGTCCCTCTCTCCCGGGGAATAGAGCCCTCTCCGTTCGGCTACTCTCGGATGTTTCAGTCATAGGGCCGGCCACGGTCTTCTTTTAGACCTTGTAGTTATTTTGGCATGCCCTACTGCCCGCCCGGTTTGTACCGTCATCTCCAAAATATTTAGAAACAAACCTGCTTCACAAATTTTGTTAAAAAGGACTTCTGAAGAATAAAATTAGTGATTTTCGTTTGTTTGAAGGGCGAATTAACTATGAGATTTAGATGATTATTATATTCTTGGGTTATTTAATGACGCTGTTTCTACAACTGAGGTATGAAGAGTTATTGTGGAAAAGAGAAATAAGTTGTCATGACAACTGCTCCGCCAAAGAATCGAACTGTGTAACTCCCGGATGAGAGGTAGATGTACTCGAATATTTTAAGACGTAATTCTGTGATATGTAGGAGGCGATGTTTATTACAATAGTTGGCTGGGTTTTTTTGCATTAGCGAATGGCAAATTTCTGTATCATCCTTTTACAGAATCTGTATCCAGAAAGATTATAAAACTGGTTTATTTCATGTATAAATTTTGATTGATATTTTGAACTGCATTTGAAGAACTGAAGTTGATTTAGCGGACTTTATAAAACTCCTGTATATATATTTTTTCCTTTCTGTCATCCTATTTTACCCGTAGGTGTCGAGGTTTTTTTATTTATTCATTTTGATCTATTTGGACAATTGTAGTACTCCTTGGATGAGTGATCAGCCCGACGCAAGGCCTCTACCTATACAAACACAGAAATACGCGGACTCGAACCCACTTAAAGGCAATTTAAAGTTTATTACTTTTATAAATTTATATTTCTGAAACGAGGAACATAAAAATGTTGGCTTAGGTTTAATAAAAGTAATATCTCAAAGTTTTGTGTTGCATCCGCATTATTTTTTCATAATTTCGTGTGTGTATCTTATTATTAATATTTGTAGAAAATTATAAAGTAACAATTTGAGTTTACCTCAAATTGCACACCGTTTATAACAAATATAAGAAATAGGTAAATTCGTTAAAAATTTGAAAGTGGTTGACACACAAAGTATGTTGATCTCGTAAGCCTGCTTTTTTCGGAAGAAGACAACGTATTTCATAACAACAATTTAATATTGCATTTTATAACACT